TGCTACCCTATGTATAAAGAAAATTTATATATCCAACAATGAATAATTTATATATATTATATAAAATACTGCTCTCAAGAATTAAATAGACATTAAAATTTGTTATTTTTGTTTTAATTATAAAAGACACTTTCCTTTTTCTTTTTCTTTTTTTATGAGAAGAAGAAACTTTGTTAAAAAATAAGAAAACATTATTTTTACATTAAAATGTAACAAATGTATTTATAATTTTAACTTTTCATTTTCTTTCTCTTCTCCACTTGTCTTTATCTTTTCAATTATTTTATCATTATTAAGATGAATAAATTCCAATTTTATAAAGGATAAAAATAAAGAATTACAATGTATATTAATTATTAAATGCATGCTAAAAACTAAATATATTTATATGGAGGTAACACTTTATCTTCCACATTAATTTAAAATCAATAATTATTTTGTTTTATGATTTTAATGTCGTAATAATTTTATATTTTAAAATGTATTAAATGTATTATAAATAATAATTAATATAACTTAAAACTAAAACTAATGCAAAGAGATTACAATATTCTTAATATGAGTGACATTAATATGAGTGGCATTAATATATCTTATAAGAAGAAAGAAGATAAAATGATATGTAAAAGATTGATTAAAATTATTAGTTTTATAAGTTAAAAAGATATATGGTGAAAAAGTCTAACAAATTAAAATAGATATTTAGTTAAAGGAAATTAAAAAATATATTTAGTTGAAATATATTTAGTTGATAAAAAATAAAGCATGTAAAAGAATTGATTTATAAGAGAATGTATTAAATTTATTGATTAATGAATTTATCATATACTCTCTTTTTACGAAAATAATTATTGTTTTTTTACTTTTTTTTCCTCTTAACACTACTAAAATTTCAACCTTCAGCAACATGGGAGCATGTTGCTGAAAGTGCTTGCCTCGTTGTTGAAAATGCTTGCAATGTAGGTGAAAGCTTTTTAGCAATATAGCTTTCGTTGCTTAAAGCTTTGTTGGAAATGCCTTGGTGGCTGATACATTAGCAACAAAGGGTATGTTGCTGATATATCAGCAACATACTCTTTGTTGCTAAAAGAACACTTTCAGCAATGTGATTTATGTTGGTAATATTTTTGCCAAATTCCGGTGGCCGATGATGAAGTTTATTTAATTATTTTCAGCAACAAAAGCTACGTTGCTGAAACTATAGTTTTAGCAACGTGGCCCATGTTACTGAAAGTTTAGGAGAAATGGTGGTTTTCAGAAGGTGGTTTTCCTTTTCCATTTTCAACAAGAAGACTCTTGTTGCTGAAAGTTCAGGAATAGTACATTCCCTAGTTTTCAGCAACGTATGTCTTGTTGTTGATATTTATTTGCATACTTCCCTTATATTAATTAACTACTTAATAAATTTTAGTTTAATTAATGTAAATTAAATAACATCAATTAATTAATGTCTTATTATGTATTTTATCAAATTTGAATTTTATTTTATTAATTTATTTTATTAAAAATTACATTCAAAACAAATAAAATAACAAAATTATTAATTACTAAAGATAATTACTTATAAATATATTAACTTCCAAATATATTAATATCTACTTAATAATGTAATATTTACAAAAATATGATTTAAATATACTTAAAGAGATCTGATGGAATTTTTTCAATTATTAATATATATACATATGGATGACATGTGCTAATTAATAGAGGAAAAAAAAAAAGAAGCTGAGAGGCGCAGCAGGCTGGAGGATGTTGCAGCAGGCCGGAGGAATTGTAGCAGGCCGGAGGAATTGCAGCAGGCCAAGGGAATTGCAGCAAGCCGGAGGAATTGCAGCAGGCCAGAGGATGTTGCAGCAGGTCGGAGGAATTGCAGCAGGCCGGAGGAATTGCAACAGGCCGGAGGATGTTGCAGCAGGCCGGAGGAATTGCAACAGGCCAGAAGAATTGCAGCAGGCCAGGGGAATTGCAGTAGGCCGGAGGAATTGCAGCAGGCCAGGGGAATTGCAGCAGGCCAGGGGAATTGCAGCAGGCCGGAGGAATTTCAGCAAGCTTGGGGAATTACAGCAGGCCGGAGGAATTGCAGCAAGCTGGAGGGAATTGCAGCAAGCCAAGGGAATTGCAGCAGGCCGGAGCAATTGCAGCAGGCCGGAGGAATTGCAGTAGGCCGAAGGAATTGTAGCAAGCCACGCGAGGAGAAGGAAGGCATGCGGTAGGAGAAATATTGCAGAATTTATAGAGAAAGGGTTGGGATATATAAATAACTTTCAGCAACATAACCTTTGTTGCTGAAAGTTTACTCTTTATTATCAACCTATACCATGTTGCTAAAGCTCATTTGAATTTGAATTTTTTTACACATCACTGACATGCATTATATTGCTAAAATTTAAAATAAAAAAAACTCCCACCACACTATCAAATGATTAAATTTTAAATGATTAAAATTTTTAGCAATATAATTCTTGTTGCTGAAAATTACTTTCAACAACAAGAGACATGTTGCTAAAAATGAAATCCTTATTTGGGGAGAAAAGTCCGGTGGAGGGCTGCCAGAAAATATCAGCAACATGGGGAATGTTGCTGATATTTACTTTCAGCAACATACCCCTTGTTGCTGAAAGTGGAGCAGCTTTTGGAGTGGAGCAGCTTTTGGAGTGGAGAAGTGTACTGCATAGCTTTCAGCAACTAAAACTTTGTTGGTGATATAATTTTTCAGCAAGAAAGGGTTCCATGTTGCTGATATTTGTTGCTAAAATTCAAAATTTTAGTAGTGTAAGTATTTAAAGATAATTTTTATATTTACCTACAATACTCTTAAAAAATGAAAGAAAAAAAAAAGATAAGAAAAGAGTTTTGTGATTGGAAGATTAATTAAAATGAATGGACAATGATAATGACCTAAGAAAAAAATATTTATTTATCTTAAAAAATAAAAAATAATAATTAATTTAAAACAAATTTAAAATAAAAATACTTATTTCTATTAATAATCTCTTAACACTTAAACCAATTAAAAATTTTTTGATTAAAAAATTATTATAATATTAAATAAATAATATAGAAAACATAAAAACAAACCCCTACAACGCACAGGTACAAAAAAAACCTAGTATCAATATAAATAATAAAAATTATTTGTATACAAAGTCATGGTTAGTTTTTTTTTTTTTTTTAATAGCCAAAAAAACAAATTTTATTAAGTGAGTACAGAAGGACTTAATCCATAACCCTTTAGAAGTACAAGAGATCCATAATTTTAGTCTCACCAGTCACCACAGCCAAAAATGCTCGACTAAGCATAGAAGAAAAATACAGATAAGCATCCATTCCAATGTGACTAGAGCAGAAATGTCTTTTTAGTGTTTACAATGGGATCATACCAGATAAGTGGTAACTTATCAACAAAAATTAAAGGAACTTTGTTTTAATATTTTAGGAATAGTACGTTATCAACTGTTAGTTTTACTTAAATGAATTAGATATTTTATATTATAAATATCAATAATTATCAATCACCAAATATTAACCATTAACTATCAATTATTTCAAAAAAATTAATTCAAACAGCCAATAAATCATAAAAGGTACTCCTTGAGACACACTGTGGATCTACCAAATACAGTTAAACATCAAATGCTCCAAAACGGTTTTTATTTTTTATTTTTTTGGATGGTGGCACCAAAACTGTTTTTTAAGTCATGGTTAGTTATATATAAGTATATTTGTGTTGGGGTGTGTTAGTGATGTAGGTTGATGAGTCAGCAGTGGTGATGATGTGGAAGCTGACTAGGATGCCACCCTTGAATGATGTGGAGGGTTCTTTTGGCGGCACCCGTTTCACATGCGAGAGGCTACATGCCACGGGCCGTCTCGTTCTGCCCAGTGATGTTGGTCAACAGTAAATTCTCCAGCAAAGCCTGAATGTGTAAGTTTTCCAGCCAAATCGGGAGTAAAGTTTCTCCAGCGAAGTTTGGAAATAGCGCTTCTCTGGCGAAGTTCGAGAATAGAGTGTCCTTAGCCAAGCTAGAAAGAGTGCGGTGATGATGGCACTCCCAAGATAATGAGAGTGATTACACAACTACCAAAAATAATGAAAATGAAATGTACATTGGTGTAGGAGCAGCAAGGATAGAAAATATATAAGGGTTAAAAATTACAACTTAAGAAGCACATTTTTACATAGTATATTGGCACCATAGCAAAACCAATGAATGTGCCCTCTATTATCCTTGACAAATACTCCTACTCTATAATGAGAAACCTTAACGTTGTAGATAAAAAGCACAATGGTCTCCTTCAAGCTTTATCAAGACAAAAGGAATAAACTTGAAAGTAGTGATAGGAGAAGGAAGGATGATCGTTGTGGGGGCTTGTGAATGGAGGGCTTGATCCCATTTTTTATGCTAACTCTTCAGCTTGATCATTTAATGTTCAAGAAGATAACCCAGAAATTGAAGTTGTAGCATGTTGTCTCCCAGCCGTGATGTGCTGTCTCCTAGCCATGATATTTTGCAAGTCTGGAAAATATTCTACAATGTTGGAAATGCAAAAAATATGAAGAAAATGATGATTCTTGAGTGATTTCGGTGTGTAGAGTGAATGGGTGAGGATGAAGGATTTTTTAGAAGAAAAATGGAGGTTTGGTATGTAAGAGGAAAGCTGAAGTTGTGAAAATCTGGTTTGTTCTGCTGAAAAATGAAGGAAAAATAATATATATGTGCAGTGGCATTTTTATAATTTCTAGGTTGATGGGTCAAAGGTGTACAAGTGGGTTTGGGTGGATTTGGGTGAGTTATCAAGTTTTGAGTGGCTTTGGGCATTGATGACAGCTTTTTGGTTGTGATATTATGAGTTATCTAACGATTCTAGCGAAACTTTGTTGGTTTCAATGAAGCACCGCTAGTTACAGCGAAGCACTACTAATGTGCTAAACACTGCCCATTTTTGATAACTCTCTAGCCATACGAAATACCATTTGGGGGGGGGGTATTTGAGTGCAACCGGCAAAATCAGGTCAGTCCAAGATTTTGGAAGATTCCAAAGGGCTGTCTAGGATATTGGTATATTTCCAAGGTTTGCCTAAGATTTTGGTAGATTTTCCCAGCGAAATCAAATCTTTTTCAATAGTTCCCAAAACCATGGAACTTGTGTAGCCACCCTTTGCATTGAATATAGTTGCAAGTTGCTTATGGTGACCAAGACAACATCTCTAGTTGGTTTTGAGCGTGATTTTAAACTTCTAGTTAGCATCAAATGGTACTATTTTGGGGATCAAGTTTGCCTCCACATCTTCGCCACCCAACCCTTTTTGGTAAACTCAGGCAACATCACCAGCACCAATCTTCATTAGCGTGAATACCTCGTTTCACCAAATAAGCAGCGTTCACCCATCCATGCCTGCCAAGCCATTACTCCCATAGTTTATCCCGAATATCCCCATGAGCTTGGATTCATGGGTTTATTCATGACCTGCAAAAGGAATAGTGATCAGTTGATGAAAATGATGAAATTTAATAAATAAGGAAATAATAAAGGAAAGAGACTTCTTTATGTATTTCTAGTGATGCAGGCTTGTATTACTGCATTAGATATTGTTAGGCCTAGCCATGTATTACAACATCATATATTGCTGGGCCTTTTGGTAAATGTATGTTGAAGGCGTTAAGGGGTGCTTAGATCGAGGCAGGTCTTGGTGACATGGGGACTACCCGAGTCTGAGTTTGACCTTTTAGAAAGGCGTCCATCAACATTAGCCCCCCAAATGTGGAGAGTTGTGACCACAAGTCTTTGAGCTTGTAGTTGGAGTTGAATATGCCCAAACTTTGCAAAATATTGGATGAATTTGATGCTGTCCAACAATATCTTTATTATGTGACAAGTTGAAGAAATGTGGCCATGTTTTGCCAAACTTGGAAGATTGACTTCATCAGAGAATAAACCCATTCTTATGTTGCATGTATGATGATGATAATAATAATGAGGGTGATTGTTGTAAAGCTCTCCCTTAGCAACTTGGTTGAGCTTATAAAGAATTTTCCTTCGTTAGGGAATGAAGGCATTGAGCATTGTTCATAGCCATGTCATTTGTGTCATCATAGCTAAAAAATATTGTTGACTTGACTGTGGAGAGGATAACATTCTAATGAAAATTGAGCAGGGAGTTGAAGTCACAACACTAGGGATAAACATTCATCAACTTGGCTGGAAAGTAATACTGGCAATATAATCTTCTAGCCATGTGATTTTTTATTTTTTTTTTTGAATTTCCCATGTACGTGCTTGTCAAGCAAATATTTGCAATTCTTCATCTTCTTTTGTGACTTGACATTAAGAAGTTGTCCAGTGAAGATAAATGACTTAAATAGTGATGGAGACATAGCCATAAGCTGCAAGCTGTTGAATTCCTAGTAAACTACTCCATCCAAGTTAAATATGTGAAGCAAAGCAATAACCCTCCATTTGAGGAATGTGAGAACCAGCAATGATGGATAACTCATTCAAGAGATAAAGTAAAGATAAAGACTCTCCATAACCTTGTTATTATTGTAGGTTGGGGCCAACAAGCTTTGTTGAGCCCTCATTTTGCCAAAGATGTTAAAGGGTGATGAAGATGAAATGAGCATACATATGTTGATGTACTTGTAATGGACCCAACATGTTGAAGAAGACTTCCTGTCCAAGATAGAGTATTCCAACAAAGGTAGACTTCCTATCCAAGATGGATTATTCCAACAAAGATGGATCTTTTGATCAAGATAAAGTATTCCAACACAGATAGAGCTTCTGATCGAGATAGAGTATTCCAACAAAGTGGACCTTTTGTCCAAGTGATGTAGTAAATAAGTCATAGTGGATGAAATCTATCCATATGAGCCTTCTAGGCCTTGACAATGTTTCTTCTCCATGATAAACTATAGAAGATGTATCAATATGTAATTGTGTGTTCATAATTATTGGCCATGTTGAATATCACTAGGTTGGCCAAAGAGTTTCATTGACCTCCCTCATACATCAAAAGAGAAGATGTAAGTATACATTGTTGTGACTCTTTGTCCATTTGTCATAGGAAGCACTTGTATAGCATTGCTATGTATGTCTGGCGTTGCGCCAAAATAAAGAATGAGTAATATGAATGTGTGTTGCGATATCATTGTCCCGAGCTAAGGATTGTTGGTTGGCAATACCTATTAACACAAAATATAGGAGAGATATGTTATGAATCAAGATTACCGGCGACTGGTAATTTTGTCCCTTTGTATAGAAGAATAATGAAGTGCATAACTGTTGGCCATGTTGTATAAGTATTGTAGGGTTAGCCATGAATAGCCTTCCCATAGCTAGAGGGACAACAGTGGCTAACTTTGTCTATGGCTGGAGCATGAACTATGTGAAATCGAAAGAGCACTCCCACTAATTCACCAAGTTGTGAAGGAGTAAATCTCACTAAGCAAGACTCCGCCATAGTGATAAATATGTGATAGAGAGAGGTGGAGTTGTCTCTATGGAAGGGGGATGCCAGCCACATCCATGGCCTCCGATATGATAAGATGTGATACCACTGACAAACGCTAGCCCTTCTTGCCATACCCACACCATTAGAGGGTAGTCCTGGTTGTTGTTGCATGTTGGGCACCGCACCACCATGCACAAGCGACCACTAAGGGGCCGTCGGTTGCTACTTGACGGATTTTGATCGTTAGAGGGTAAGCATCTCATTCAATCGTAGGGTTGCAACTATTACCGGTCTTATGCTAATCGTACTGAGTTACGCTGACTCTTTGTTCGTTTTCGAGAGCAAGTGAGATAGAATATGTAGAGATTTCATCCTTTGTCCATTACCGAGAGCCAGTGTAATGAAGATAGGTTTAAGTACCATTTTGGTCCCTCAGCTTTCCACTTTGGCACCAAAATTGTCCTTCAACTTTAAAAAGTACCAAAATTATCCTTAAACTTTCATTTTTGGTACCAAAACAATCCTTCTGTCAGTTAATTGACATGTGTCACGTTAACTTGCCAGCAAATCAATTCTTTTTTTTCTTAACTAATGACATGGAAAAAAAAAACATAGTTGGCATATGAGTTGGCATTTTTGTTTAATTTAAAATTAATGATTTTTTTTTTCATCCAGGTCATCTCTTCTTCCTCTTTCACTTTCTCTCTCCTTTACCTCTTCTTTTCCCTTACCTCTGCCAACCCAGATCTAGGATCTGGGTTTTCTCTCAAACTTCATCTTCTTCCTCCTTTCCTCTTTCCTTTCCTTACTCATCTTTCTTCTTTCTTCTTTTTATTCTTTCTCTCTCTCTTCTCCCTTCTTCTTCATCTCTCAAACCTAAATTTAGGTTTTTCTCAGTCGTGTCATGTTCATTTTCTATACAAAATGATAATCCAAAAAAACCTTCAAGCACAAATCTTTCAAACAATAAAACTAAAGTAAACAAATTTTCAGAAAAAAGAAATGCTAATCCATACAAAAGCTAAAGGATCTAAACCGTAACCATTAGAAGTAAGAACAAAATTGGCGTGTAGCAATTAACTACTAACCACTGTTGCACAAAAAGAAGATTAGCGATTTGAATAATTGTTTGAGAATCCTTTGTAGAAATTGAATTGACATGTCCATCATTTCAACGCTAAAGAAAAAGTGGAAGAAAGAAAAAGGCGATATGAAAAGGCAAAGAAACTCATCCATCCATTTCAAAAAGAAAAAAACATACAAGAAATAAAAAATCCACAAGAAAAGCATTAGATACTACAATTCTACCATCATTTATAGAGCTAAAATTGAAACATGACTAAAAAAAGGATCCAAAACAGGAATGTTGTTTGGGACATGAATCATGCTCCAACTCTAGATTTGGAGCGATAGAGCTTGCCAAACACATGAAGAGCAATAACTGTAGCATTTGGTTACCAATTGACGAATCGATCAGAGATCCGAAATAGGAATGGTTTTTGGGACATGAATCATGCTTCGGCTCCAGATTTGGAGCGATAAAGCTTGCCAAACACATGAAGAGCAGTGACAAAGCCGCTGAAGCAAAGACTCATGACAAGGACAACAGTGGGCGAGATCTTCAAGCCGGGGGCATCATCAATCGTTGTCCGAGCCTACAGTGAGCTAGATCCCAACGCATGTTATTGACGGAGCCAGAGCTGATAGAGCTAGATCTTGATGCGACCGAGCCTACAGTGAGCTTGCGACGACGTATGCCAGCCGTTTCTACAGCAGAGCTACGCGAGGGCCATGATGCCAAGCTTTGAGGTGGATGAGGAAGAGGCTTGGGATTGTGAAGAACCTTTTGCCATTGTTTGCTGCAAATAGAGAACTTAAAAAAGAAAGGGAGAATAGAGAGAGAAAGAATAAGAAGAAGAAAAAGGATGAGAACGAAGGAGGAAGAAGATGAAGTTTGAGAGAGAAACCCAAATCCCATATCTGGGTTCATAGAGGTAAGGGAAAAGGAAAGGTAAAGGAGAGAGAAAGTGAAAGAGGAAGAAGAGATGACTTGGATGAAAAAAAAAATCATTAATTTTAAATTAAATAAAAATGCCAACTCATAGGCCAACTATGTTTTTTTTTTTTCCACATCATTAGTTAAGAAAAAAAAAAAGAATTGATTTGATGGCAAGTTAACATGACACCTGCCATTTAACTAACGAAAGGACTGTTTTGGTATCAAAAATGAAAGTTTAAGGATAATTTTGGTGCCAAAGTGGAAAGTTGAGGGACCAAAATGGTACTTAAACCAATGAAGATATGTAGAAACACATAACCTTTTACCCATTGCCGGAGGCTAAATGAGATAACGAATTTGGCCCTTTGTCCATCATCAAGGGCTATGTAGATATGGCCCATTGTCCATTGATGGGAGCCATGTATGTTTAGGAAAGTCGACTCTTTATCCATTGTTAACAGCCACAAGATGCAATAGTGAACATCGTTGCAGGGGACATGACAGTAAAAAATGTTCAACCATGTCATTGGAATAGGTTTAGCCATGTCTGGCCATGTGTAAAAAAATGCTGCTAAAGTAAAACATGTCTGTATCATTCCCAACGGAGTGGGTAAATGCCACTTCTGGCAATATAAAAGAGAATAATGTTGAGTACTGCTTCTAGCGATGTTGACTCCATTGTGGTTACCAGCAAGAAATAGAACATAACATTTCTGATGTATAAACAAGTCATGTGAACCCTCTGGTCGAAGTAGATGTGTCACGCGCCAGAACCCAAATCCGGGGATGTGGCAGATGCCGTACACTTGTGAACGGGTCCCACGAATGTACAAGGCTCAGAACTTTATCATACCACAATCTGATACCACAAAATCTGAAGATAAAATTATAAAATTTGCTCTGATATCATAAAATCTCCAAATAAAGTCTAGCTTACAAGATCATGATTTATATCTAAAATCTATGTTCAATTTACAAGATAGCTAGCCTTCTAACTTGTCACTCCCCTCGGTTTTCCCTATCCTTGACTTTGCTTCTTGAAATAGTGGACAAGGAAAAACTATGAGATAACTCAGTAAGTAAATATGGATAGCCCTTAATTAAACTTATAGCATGCCAATAAGTATAATCACGAAAAACAGATATGAGTACGAAAATGAAATAAACGTCTCCTCTATAGGTCATGACCAGTGTTATAAACCTCCCACTGGCAGGCACACGATTTACTAGTGTATAATCCCATTAGCAGGATTATAGAAATACCAGTTTTTAATAACTCCCATTGGCACCGGCTTTACAGAAATATATGTCGACATGTGCTAACATTTATAAACCTCCCACTAGCGGGCACACGAATAACATAACCATATCGGAAACAAAACCAGGTAGAAGTTAACAGGAAAATCATAATTCACAAATAATTTTTAGATCATTAGGGCAGTTAAGTAAACTCCAAGAAAGCATGCTCAAATCAATAAAAAGAATAATAATTTTATTTCAAATCGATCATACTTGTGTAAAACGAGTTTAGTCCCGCGACCACTTCAAAAACAAGCTAAAATGTGCTTTAAAATCGGAGGACGTTACCATAATTTACTTACCTCAAATCGCATAAACCGAGGACTCAATCCAAGTACTCTAAGCCATAACAGCACATAATATTCCAAATAAATACCTTAGACTTTACTAAAATTATTAGCACCTCGCAAACTTACTAACCAATGAGTTTCACACGAAATTCAACCATAATATGAAACTCCCTTTTACTCAACCTGTATATCTCCCCAAAATCCAAATATTTTTAAGTAAAATTATGATATCCAAAAATTCTCTTATACAAGAGGTTTTAGAGCCAAATTCGCTAATTTGGTTTCCCAATCCCACGGACACAAAAATGGGGAAACAAGGCCTTTATTTGAATTATTTATCTTGCAAAACCGCAACTCACACGGAATTTCCATATAAACATCACAGCAATTAATTAAGCTAATTTTACCTTAATCAAGCTTTAAAACAATGGTTTAAGGCTGCTGAAATATTTCCCTTTTCTAGCAGAAAATCCCACCATACAACAGAAGAATTTCGGACAACAAAAGGCAATAAATAAATGGACTTAGATGGAGTTGTCACATACCAAAATTTTTGCAAGCAAAAACTGAAGTTGTGGGTTGGGGAAGCCGGCGGGAAGTGCAGGAAATTTAGGGGGATCTACCGGAAATTGGAGAAACCAACAGAAATTAGAGTAAACCCAAGCCAAATAAAGCTAGAGAAAGGAGATTCATGGCTGTTCTTACCGAAAAGCCTAGAAATTTCGCACCCACATAGTAGAAACCGATGGACAGAGGAGGAAAAGCAGAGCAGATCTGGAAATTTCTCTGCAGGGGAAAGATTTGTGGGTTCTATATGTGTTCTAGAACAAGAAAAAAAGGAGAAATCCCCAAGCTTTTACTGGTTTTTCAGCCGGAGATGGGTGGCGGCAGCTGGGAGGCTCGGCCGGTTGCAGGGGGGTCGGGAAGAGCAGAAGCACACGGGCTGAGGAAGAAAGAAAGAAGAAAAAGATCACCCGGTCCTTATCCCTTTTTTCCAAATTTTTACTCTTTTAAATCCCTCAAGTTTCGAAATATTTATTATTAGGCCCCAAACAATATTTTTCCCAAAATAAGTCTCGAACTTAAATGATAAAATTCTCAAAAATTTGGGATATTACAAGATGTGTTGTGAGTATTTCAACACAGCTAGAGCAAAACTTTAGCTAAGAATTTCATGTTGCTCATTAAGCTTCAACAGAGATGGATTCAAACACAGCTAGAATAAGACTTTAGCCAAGAGATCTGATGTTGTTGATGAAACTCTGACAAAGATAAAATCAAGCATGGCTAGAGCAAAACTTCAATCAGGGAATCTGATGCCATCTATGATGATGCTTTGGCATGGATAAAATCAATCATGGCTAGAGTAAAAGTCCAACCAAGAAACATGATATGGCCGATGATAAAGCTCCAAGTGATGACTCTAAACATTATAGATATATGGCTAGAATGTTGGCCTTAGTCACGTCATTGCTGGAGTTCCAACAGTGATGATGCAATTCCCACCTTTGACAAATAATGGATCCAGAGTGGGATACAACAAGTAGAAAATTTTTTTTCTCGCATTGTACATGTAATTTGAAGCCAAAGAGAAGTTGAAGTTGCTTCGAAGATAGTTATTAGCAATTGAGAAATTAACTTCCTTTCTTGAAGAAATTGAGTTGAAATTCCCCTAGCCCCCAACCATAGGCTAGGCTAAGAGTATGAAGCTTCCATTGGCTTGCTCAAAAATAAGGAAGAAGAAGATAAGGAGGCAAATCTCTTCCAATGCTAATAAATTTCTTAGCAATCATGTCAACTCTAACTTTCATGCATATAAGGCAATGCTGAGGATGCTTGCGGCGTTGGAAGTAAGCTTCTTCGACAAGACAGTGTAGAAACATTGGGAAACCAAGTAATAGACTTTGCTACAAGTGATGCAAGCCACTTAGAGAAATTGATTATGATTACACCATCCATGCTGTCATGTATCATGTAGAAAGACTACGGGTCCTCATGAGTTATTGGACACAGAGAGTTGCATGACAATTTGGCTATAACTTAGATGTTTTGCCAACTTGCTTTCTTGGATAGCTTTGATTAGGACCTAACCATGAGTTTTTACATCGTTGATGTTGCTACAGCCATATAGAGTGAAAACACTATGTGCTTACCCACACTTAGGATTCAAAAAGATGAACATGACCCGAGCAAAGGTACTGGCAAAGAGCAAGGACAAGAGGCTAGCACTGTTGAAGTTGAAGGTAAATAGACTTCTCCATTTTTTTCCTTAAGCCTTAGTTCTTCTTTCATTTGAGATCTTGGCATGGTTGGATGTATATATAATAGAGAGATTTTTACACTTACGTTGTTTGTGCAACTTTGTAGGTGAATCGAGCCAAGTAATTTCTTCCAAGAAAACTAGTCATCAGGCAAAACAAAGAGTATGGCCAAGCCATCCAAGAGTGAAGCAACCATCCAAGAGTGATGCTCACAAGTCTAGTACTTTGCTAGCCAGCAAACAAATCAAAGTGAAGGCATCCATGCCTCACAAAGCTAAAATGCCCAAGGAAAATGAAGAGAAGACAAGTGTGTGCATTGATGAGCTTTCCTTGCATAACTAATACAAACCTTCCATCATTGTTGACCTCACGAAGAAATCATCATACCTGAGTCATTGTTTGTATGTGCAGCCCCTAGCCTCTAGCGAAGGGCTAGACTCCATTCTTATTCCTAGTAATGATGAAGTTTCATCCAAGGCAAATGAGGCCAAGAATGTGGAGGCTTTGACGAAGAACATAGATAAGGCTCCAACGAAGAACATGGATGAGGCTACGACAAAGAACATGTATGAACCTCTAGCACAGCGTGGAATCTACTGTAAAACCATTGCTAGTGAAGCAGATGAGCCTTCATTGCTTGATAGCATAATTGGCTTGGTTGATGACATCTTTGGTTGGAATTATCTTACATCCTTTGCAACAAAGTGTAACAAAAAAAGAACAAAAGCAAGTGTAGCTCAAAACTTTTGCCTTTTGTATAGATGTAGATAAGAGAAGGCGCAAGAGTTCTCATATGGCACTCCCAAAGCAATGAAAAAGTATAAATTGATAGAAGATCAGCCAGCCATGACAGCAATAAAGGTATACAAACTTTTTTTTTCTAGGTTAAAACCCCATTTTGGTCCCTGAACTATTGTACGGACCCCTGATTTAGTCCCTAAACTAAAAAAATCCCTGATTTGGTCCCTACTGTTTACCATTTTTACCCCGATTTGGTCCATAAACTAAAAAAATCCCTGATTTGGTCCCTACTGTTTACCATTTTTACCCCGATTTGGTCCTTCCGTTAAATATCCGC